GACAGGGATCACAACAGATGGTCCCAGACAGAGCTGGAGAAAAATGTAGAACAAAATTCTAACTCACAAAAAAAGACCAGACTTACTGGCCTGACAGAACCTGGAGAAACCCCGAGAGTATGCCCCCCAGGCACTCTTTTAGCTCAGTAATGAAGTCACTCCCGAAGTTCACCCTTCAGCCGAAGATTAGACAGGCCCATAAAACAGAACAAGACTAAAGGGGCACACCAGACCTGGGGCAAGGATAAGAAGGCAGGACAGGACAGGAAAGCTGCTAATAGGAAACCCAAGGTTGAGAAGGGAGAATGTTGACATGCCGTGCGGTTGTTAACCAATGTCATAAAACTGTATGTGTACTGTTTAATAAACTATTTGTTCTTTAAACCTTCATCTAAAGTACAATAAAAAAATTTAAAAAAAAAAGTGCTGGCAGATATTTTCCATAAATTGAATGAAAAAAATCTGTGGCACCTATGTTTTAGTAAAAAATACATTTCAAGCACATGATAAAATAATTTTATTGACATAAAAATAATTTTATTACACGTATTATAATAAAATTAACAATATTTCCATCTCCCAACCCATTCTGAGTATACTGAGTTAAACAAAGTCTCTCTAAGTGAAAGAATAACAGTTAAAATTAATTTTCATCTCATAAGTATGGGTAAAACTTTTTTGGTATACTTCTCACATACTGAGAAAGAGAATTACTCTAATGGCTATCAAATCTTTCTGCAAGTCAGGGGCTTCTAATTCTTTGCTTTTGAAGGAGGACCTGATGAGTTTGTCAGCTGATGGATCAATGATAATTTTGAGGATAGATCACTAGAAGATTTTACCATACTAAGCAGGAGGATAAGCATCATTATGATAAACAGAGAAAAGACGGAAGTTGTCAAGGATTTCATTTTACTTTGATTCACAGTCAATGCCCACAGAAGCAGCAGTCAAGAAATCAAACGATGCATTGCATTGGGCAAATCTGCTGCAAAAGACCTCTTTAAAGTGTTAAAAAGCAAAGATGTCGCTTTAAGGACTAAGGTGCGCCAGTTCCAAGCCATGGTGTAGATTCTGACTCATAGTGACCCTATAGGACAGGGTAGAACTGCCCCCTAGAGTTTCCAAGGAGAGACTGGTAGATTCGAACTACTAACCCTTTGATTAGCAGCCACAGCTCTTAACCACTCCACCACCAGGGCACATGCTCCATTTATAATGCAAAATACATAAATAAAATGAAAGAACAAACAGCAGAGGCCCTGCTGGTGGGAGGGAGGTCACAGACAGGGACCAATCAACAAGTACATTATGGGATACCTATGGTACCTGTGCTTTATTGACTATGCAAAGGCATTTGACTGTGTGAATCATAATGAATTATGGATAACGTTATGAAGAATGGGAATTCCAGAACACTTAACTGTGCTCATGTGGAACCTGTACATAGACCAAGAGGCAGTGGTTTGCACAGTGCAAGGGGATACTGCATAGTTTAAAATCAAGAAAGGTTAGCGTCAGGGTTGCATCCTTTTACTATATTTATTCAATCTGTATGCTGAGCAAATAATCCAAGAAGCTGGACTATATGAAGAAGAACAGGGCATCAGGATTGATGGAAGACTCATTAACAACCTGTGATATGCAGACGACACAACCTTGCTTACTGAAAGCAAAGAAGACTTGAAGCACTTACTGGTGAAGATGAAAGACTTAAAATCTTTGGTATGGATTACACCTCAACATAAAACTAAGGACATCATAGCTTGGTTCAGGATTACACCTCAACATAAAACTAAAATCCTGCACACCCATGTCCATTGCAGCATTATGCACAATGCCAAAAAGATGGAAACAACCTAAGTGCCCAGCAACAGATGAATGGATAAACAAACTGTGGTACATACACACAATGGGATACTGCACAACAATAAAGAACAATGATAAATCTGAGAAACATCTCACAACATGGATGAATCTGGAGGGTATTATGCTGAGTGAAATAAGTCAATTACAAAAGGACAAATACTGTATGAGACCACTATTATAAAAACACAGAAAGAAACAATCTCTGATGGTTACTAGTGAGGGGAGGAGTGGGGAGGGAAAAACACTAGACAATAGATAAGTGGTAACCTTGGTGAAAGGTAAGACAGTACATAGTACTGGGGAAGTCAGCACAGCTTAACCAAGGCAAGATCATGGAAGCTTCATAGACATATCCAAACTCCCTGAGTGACCAAGTTACTGGGTCAAGGGCTGGGGACCATGGTCTTGGGGGACATTTAGCTCAATTGGCATAATCTAGTTTAGAAAGAAAGTATTCTACATCCTACTTTGGTGAGTAGCATCTAGGGTCTTAAAAGCTTGTAAGTGGCCATCTAAGACCCTCCACTGGTCCCACCCCATCTGGAGCAAGGGAGAATGAGGAAAGCCAAAGACACACAAGGGAAAGATGAGTCCAAAGGACTAATGAACCACAAATACCACAGCCTCCACCAGACTGAGTCCAGCACAACTAGATGGTGCCCAGCTACCACTACTGACTGCTCTGACAGAGGTCACAATAGAAGGTCCCCGACAGAGCTGGAGAAAAATGTAGAACAAAATTCTAACTCACAAAAAAAAAAGACCAGACTTTACTGGTCTGACAGAGACTGGAGAAACCCCAAGAGTACGGCCCTCAGACACCCTTTTAACTTAGTACTGAAGTCACTCCTGAGGTTCACCCTTCAGTCAGAGATTATACAGGTCCATAAAACAAAATGAGACTAAATGGGCACAGCAGCCCAGGGGCGGGGGAAGAGAAGGCAGGAGAGGACAGGAGAGCTGGTGGTAACAGGGAAACTGAGGTTGAGAAGGGGAGAGTGTTGCCATGTTGTGGGGTTGGCAGCCAATGTCACAAAATAGTATGTGTATTAATTGGTTTAATGAGAAACTAATTTGCTGTGTAAGCCTTCATCTAAGGTACGATAAAAAAAAATTAAGAAAAAAAAAAAGAAAACAAAAATCCTCACAACTAGACCAATAAGCAACATCATGATAAATGGAGAAAATACTGAAATGGTAAAGGATTTCATTTTACTTGGATCCACAATCAACACCCATGGAAGCAGCAGTCAGGAAATCAAATGATGTATTGCATTAGGCAAATCTGCTGCAAAAGACCGCTTCAAAGTGTTAAAAAGCAATGATGTTTCATTGAGAACTAAGGTGCTCCTGAACCAAGCTATGATATTTTCAATCACCTCATATATATGGGAAAGCTGGACAATGAATATGGAAGACCAAAGAATTGATGCTTTTGAATTATGGTGTTGGTGAAAAATATTGAATATACCACGGACTGCCACAAGAACGAACAAGTCTGTCTTGGAAGAAACATAGCCAGAGGGCTACTTGGAAGTGAGGATGGTGAGCCTTCGTCTCATGTACTTTGGACATGTTATCAGGAGGGACCATTCCCTGATGAAGGACATCATGCTTGGTAGAAGGTCAGTGAAAAAAGAGGAAGACCCTCAACGAGATGGATTGACACAGTGGCTGCAAGAATGGGCTAAAACATAACAACGATTGTGAGGATGGCGCAGAACCGGGCAGTGTTTCTTTCTGTTGTACATATGGTCGCTTTGAGTCGGAACCAAGTTGATGGCACCTAACAACAACAATGGTGGTGCAGTGGTCAAGAGCTCAGCTGCTAACCAAAAGGTTGGCAGTTCAAATCCACCAGCCACTCCTTGCAAACCGCACGGGGCAGTTGTACTCTGACCTATCGGGTCACTATGAGCTGGAATTGACCCAACGGCAACGGGGATTTTTTGTTTGTTTATATATTGAAATATTATCTACAGTAAATTCATAAGGTCTGTTGTGTTTAAATCTGGAAATGGTTAAATGAAAATACTTAAGGGGAAAGAAAAAGAAGCACAAGATAGTATTGATTGCAGCTGTATAAAAACTCATCGATGCCATGAGTTTGAGAAAAAAAGTTATTATTTACAGCCTTGAATGAGCATGACAACATGCTGGGCAAGTGATAAGAAAGCTGCCACAAGTAGGCAGGGATTATGAATAACAAGGAAGTCCGAGCTGTAGCGTGGGGCTTCCGCAAAGTCACTTATAAGGTCTGGATTTGTGACCCAGCTGGACAAAAAAGGGGGTGGACGTCCCGGTTGAGAAGGCTATTGGCGGACAGACGGTCAAGAGGCGCTCCACGCAAGTCTCCAAGCCCCCGGGCGGGCCCTCGGGCCGCGCGCACTCCCCACAACGCTCCTGGACAGGCTGCTCCGAGCTCCGTCTTCCTGCCGCCTCTCCCCGCCCGCCGCCAGGGGGCGCCACAGGCTGCCTGGCGGTCTGCTTGCGGCCTGGGAGCGCCGGCACTGGCGAGCGGCGGACCCCTCCTGGCGGCCATGGACCGGTTCTTGTGGACCAGTGGCCTCCTGGAGATCAACGAGACCCTGGTGATCCAGCAGCGCGGGGTGCGCATCTACGATGGTGAGGAGAAGGTAAGGTGGCCGCCCGCCCGCCGTCGGCCTTTCTGAGAGCCTGGCGGAAGTGGGCTCCCGGGCGGGCTCGCGTCCCAGCAGGCCCGGCCCTCTGCCCGCCCAGCCCGGCGGTCCTGGCCTGGCTCTCCGGCCCCTCCGCGTCCCCTGCTCGCGCCGGGCCCCGGAGGCGCGCAGTCCGCCGACCGGCCTGCCCTGGCCCTAGCGCCTCTGTGCCGGCGCAGGAAAGTACCCGCCGCGCGGCCGGATCGCGTCCCGCTCGCCCCCGGCGTCCGCACCCCTGCGGCCTGGAACGCTCGGGCGCCTCCCCCGCCCCGTCCCTCCCGCGCCGGCCGCGTAAACCTTACCGTCTCCAACTTTGGAAGCGTTCCCAGGAAGCGCGGAGTGTGGTAACTTCCTCTTTAATACCCCCACCCCACTAAAAGAATATTTATGATTCCACAGCTTGTGTATGCTGATGAGAATATTGCTTTGTTTTCATACATGGAGTAGTGATGATGACGACAGATTTCTTTGGCATTATTTCAGAGTGATTAAAGAACTCGGCTGCTAACCAAAAAGGTCGGCAGTTCGAATCCACCAGCCGCTCTTTGGAAACCTTATGGGGCAGTTCTACTCTGTCCTATAGGGTCGCTATGAGTTGGAATCGACTCCACGGCAACGGGTTTTAATTACACTGGATAGAGCATAATAACTCGGACCGGCCAGTGCTGCCTTTTTGTTAGGAGAGTGCTGTGCCTGTAAACTCCCTAGCTCAGTGGTAACTTTAGGTTGACCCTTATGGGAGTCCGGATGGGTTATGAAATCTGCCCCGGGGAAGGAAGAGGGTGAGGGATTTCTTTGAAAGGATTTCTGAAAAAAGTATCAGTGTCTTTCCCCCATTGAACGCCTTTGCTATAGGCCCTTGGTTTTTTTGTGTGTGTGTTTGTTTGTTTGTTTTCTAACTACTTTAGTAAAGAGTTTTGAGCGTTTGTTTTGTAAAGGGATGTAGTAGGCCTGTTTTCCCATAGAAATGGGGAAATAAGCCTTAGGAGGTGTGTTTGCAAATTCAGAGGAGAAATATTAACGGTAAGTATGGTAAGTACAGTAAACATTTTGTGGATACTTGAGTGAAACTACAAAATAATCTTGTTCTGGATGAAATGTAGTAACTGGAATTTGAAAAATTATTTAAACTTATGGCCTACAAACATTTTTAGAAGTTTTCGCTTGCAACCTGTCATGCCTTGCAGCTTTTTTAATGAAACATCTCCCTTACTTTTGTGTATGTTCCTTGACTCAGCTTCTCCTGGTTGATGCTTTTGGCCTCCTTCCTCCTATGTAACGGAGGGCAGGGGTTACACGACTATAAAGAGGCACAGCTGAAGTTGGTGCCAGGTCCTCTGATGCCCTGAGGGCATTTATTTGGTACACCTGAGTTGCCCAGAGTCAGGGTTGACTTGACAGCAACTTTTTTTTTGCGTTGCTGCCATGATTGAGTCAAAGTCTTTACCTTAAATAATTTCCTTGGACTTAAAATTGTTAGCTGCCTTCAAGTTCGTCCTGGTTCATGCACAACAGGATCTGACTGTTGTGATCCATAGGGTTTTCATTTCCTGATTATTGGAACTAAATCCCCAGGCCTTTCTTCCTAGGCTTCTTACTCTGGAAGTGCTGCTGAAACCTGTTCAGCATCATAGGAACACATAAACCTCCACTGACAAGTGGTGGCTGTGCTTCAAGTGCGTAGGCTAGGAATGCAACCTGAGTCTCTCCTGCATGCTGTCTCAACACTTTTATTAACTTGATTTCAAATTGGATTTTGCATCTTTTCTTTGGTTGGAGTGACAAGCTATTTTTTTTCAACCAAGTTTACACCTTTGGGATGGTTTTAAATGGAAGCCTAGTTCCCTCCCTGGGTGGTTTGATTATGCCTCCACGCTAAGAACTGAGTGCTGACAGTGATAGATTGGCCTTACAAGACTCCTCCAAAGCCATTCCCTGCAGGAGCACTTGAAAACCAAGCATTTTCAGAGTGGCACACTCTGTTGTTCTTTGTAACTCCTGTATACAAGCTAGGAACACCTTTGTCGCCAGACAGTATAACCGTGATGTATTTAAAACAATATAAAATCACAACTGTTAGGACATGTAAATGATAAAACATTGCTGAGCCAGCAAATTCTAGTTGTTTAAAATTTTTGCTGTTTGTTTTAGCAGAGAAGTGGGTATAGGGTCAGAGGTTTTAGAAAAAAAGTCATGGGGCAAACTTAGTTTGAGACCCTTTGATCTGGACAGGAATTCTTAACTTCTAAAAACTGGAGTGGGGGAGAATCTTGAAATTGTAAAGGGCATTTAATTATGGTGGCCCAGGTCTGGATCTACTTAAACAGTCATTTGCTGAGCTGTTTGCAGCTACTTGGTCTCTAGTATGACTGCGGGCCAGACTGATTCCTGGGGGACAGTGCCAGGTCCTGGCTTCTCCCATCTGCTGGTAGGCTCCCAGACCTCATGTGGTGCTGAAGACTCTCAGAGGTTTCACTTTAGCCTCCAGATCTGATCAAGTCATCTCATTCAAAATCCTTCACTGGCTATCTTGGCCTGGGGACTACAGGCCAGGCTGCTTAGCCTTCTTCATAACTTTGCATCCGAACCCATTCCCTGGGTAAGAGCATATATGGCTCTAGACCAGCTGGACGCTCCTGAAGGGCAGAAAGTGTGTGTTAATCGTCCTTGTATCTTCTGACCCACTGTGGTGTGAAACACATATTTTTGTTTTTAACTGAATATTTAAAGCACCCAGTATGTGCCAGAGGAGCCCTGGTTGCAGAGTGGTTAAGTGCTTGCCTGCTAACCGAAAGCTTGGTGGTTCGAATCCAGCAGCTCTGCAGGAGAAAGCTGTGGCAGTCTGTTTACGTAAAGAGTACAGCCTTGGAAACCCTATGGAGTAGTTTTGCTGTGTCCTGTAGGGTTGCTATGACTCAGAATTGACTCAACAACAATGAGTTTGGTTTGGGTTTAGTACTGTGTGCCAGGAGGAGTCACTGGGTGGTGCAGATGGTTAACTACTTGGCTGCTAACCAAAAGGTTGGAGGTTTGAGTCAACCCAGAGGCCCCTTGGAAGAAAGGCTGGTGGTCTACTTCCAAAACGTCAGCCATTGAAAACCCTACGGGGCACAGTTCTGTTCTGACACACATGGGGTCGCCATGCGTGGGAGTCCACTCCATGGCAACTGGTTTGGTTTTTCTGGTTTGTAAAGCCAGGAGCTTCACATGTGGTCTTAGGTATATAAGGTGGTAGTTTACTGAATGAGAAAATCATGCTCTGAGAGAAAGTGAGTTGTGTAAGATTCACAGAGTTAATTATCAAGAGACATAGAATTTAAATCTCTATTGACCAGACACTCAAAGCCTGTGCGTTGTTCACTATGCAATATCACTTCAAAACATAGCATGCCAGACTCTTTACGTAGTGTTGAATATAGCTAAGCCTCCCAAAGATGAGGAAACCGAGACCGTTAGTTTATCCTGGAAAAAGTTGCTACTTGTCCAGGGTCACACAACAAGTAATTGGTGGAGCTGTGAGTAAATGCATGTTTGCTTGTTTATACAGGCACCGTTTTCATGTGCCCATTATGACTGTATAGTGAGTTGTTTTAATAAGCAGTGTAGACAGGTCCTTTGTTTCAATTCACAGGAGCACCTATGGCTTCAGCTAGTTTAAAAAATAAGGTAAGAATGCTAGTAGTGGTGTGAAGTAATAAGTTTGCAGAAGTAGTAAGTTTGCAGCACATACCAAAAGATTTAAAAAATGTTTATTCTTTCAGCCAGCAATTTCATTTTTAGGAATTTACCCTTTGGAAATAATCAGAAATGCATAAACATATTATGTACAAGGATGCATATCTCATACTATTTCTAATAGGGGAGAATTAAGACCAATCTGAACGTCCACCATAGGGGTTGGTTAATTAAATTACGACATGCCTTCATTAGCATGGGCAATTGCTAATCATGGGTTGTTGAGTAAAAAAAGCAGGTTAAAATACTATGAATATCATAGTCGCATGCAGTCCCTGGGTGGCATAACCAGTTAACGTGCCCGGCTGCTAACCGAAAGATTGGCGGTTTGAATCTACCCAGAGGTGTCTTAGAAGAAAGGCCTGATGATCTACTTCTGAAAAATCAGCCACTGAAGCTGTGGAGCACAGTTCGGCTCTGACACACGTGGGGTCATCATGAGGCAAAATCGACTCGACAGCTACTGCTTTTTATTTTGTTTAAAACAGATATATATATATATAGTCAATCCTAGTTATTCACGAATTCCCCATTTGCAGATTCGCTTACTTGCTAAAATTTATTTGTAACCCCAAAATCAGTACTTGCAGCACTGTCTGAGTCATTTGCAGACATGTGCAGCGCAACAAAAAATTGGGTTGCCTGATGCACATGTTCTCAGCTGAGCTAGAACAAGGCCATGCTCTGCCTTCTTGCTTCAGCTTGCATACTGTAAACAAGCGTGCTTTTCAAGGTCTGTTCAGTGCCACACTCTTTGCATTTTTGTGCTTTTTGTTGGTTATTTTGTTTAAAATGACCCCCAAGCTTAGTGCTGATGTGCTGTCTAGCGTCTATTAGCCAAGAAGGCTGTGATGTACCTTATGGAGAAAGTTGGTGTTACATAAGCTTTCAGGTATGAGTTACAGTGCCGTTGGCTTAAGTTCAGTGTTAATTAAGCAACGATATGGTACATCAAAAAAAGGAAGAGATTTGCCAGTTTGAACATGAGGCCTCTCTGCTCTAGAATGCTAAAAGAGCTTTTACAGTGCATGATGAAGTGGTGGAAAAGTGGCTAGCTTTGTGGATTCTTGAGATGATGACTGATAAAAATAGCATCCAAAACCAAACCCATTGCCATCAAGTCAACTCTAACTCATAACGACCCTATAGGGCAGAGTAGAACTGCCCTATAGGGTTTCCAAGGCTGTAATTTTTTTTTTTTTTTTTTACTGTTCCCCCATAAA